TGGCTGAAAGTTTACTCAGCTTTCTTTCCTTCCAAGGGCATTAAAATGAGTACCCAGCTTGTTTGGGGGGGGGGGATGTGTAGTCTGCATAATTAACTTGTAAACCATGCATAGTGCTTTAAGCACTATGGGACAGTATATAAGCAGCACACTTTGCTTTTGCTTTGTTTAAGGGCCTACATTCTGTTATTGTAATGAGAAAACATTAGTTTGTTGCTCTAGGTCATAAGCCAGAGTTGATTTGATTTAAATAAAATGATTTAAATAATTAAAAAATAAGATTTTTTGATAATTTAAATTAAAAGATCAATTTGATTTTAAAAAATCATTTATTTTTATCCACCCTATCTCTAGTGTCTGCATACTGTAATTTGGCATCTTGCCGGTTAAATTGGTACCTCAGGTGAGGAGTCACCATGGGTTGCCAACCATTTTGTGGCTTTGGGGCAAAGCACTTTTGTACAGAGTAAGCATGTGTGCACCCAGCCATGAAAATAATGTTCTGGTAAATATTTATCATGAATTATTTACATCTGTACTTGTTCTGGGCGTTATTGACACAGTGCCTTACTTTTTAAAGGTGTTCTGAAGGGTTTTTTTTTTAATTAGCAGCTCACTTGTATTGATAATTTTGCATTACTTTAGATGCAGGTGCTACTGAAGATTCTTCTCCTCCTCTGCCAGAAAGAACTCCAGAATCTCTTGTACTTGCAAGTGAGCAGAGTGAGTTTGTTCTGTTGATTTCCTAAGAATCGTAGATCAGACTTGTGTATTAACAGGGTATTTAACAGTGATGAAACAGTGGCAGCTATGGAGCTAATCAGAATGTGGATAACATATGTAACAACGTACAAGTAGAGAAGTACAAGTATCCTATAGCATTGTCCTGTACAGTATTTATGTTATAACATAGTTGTCCCATTTTTCCTGTTACTGGCTCCATAAAAGTTAAATTATTAGAAGACAGAGTCCTCACATGTGGCCACCATGTTACAGCTCTGTTTTTAAAATGTTGCAATTATTAATCTGTTTTAAATGCTACTTTGAAAAGCTTTTCGCTTGTTTATAAAAATCCTGTATAGCAGTGCATCTATTGAGCATGGTGTTCTGAATTGTTTTCATAGACACAACTTTGCCCAAAGCTGTTATGATTCCACGATCTGCTGAATGGAGTTTGTCACAAGAGCAGAAACAACCAAAATGTACAGTAAGTGTGAAACAATTCATAGAAGAGGGAGCAATATTTCACAGTGAACTGATGAAACATACTTCAGTGTCTTTTCAGAAATTGCCTTTCAGTGAAGTAAAGAGTAACACTATACTAAATACAACCAATGGTCAAAATTCCTCTTATTAATAGCGTAATTTCTGATGGTGAGTTGCCTTGAGTTATGAAATCACCATAGACATTATCTGTTGCTTACTGAGTTGTGATTCAGTATGCATCAGGTAATATCTACAACTATTTCTAAAGTTAAGGTAATTCATTTTTAACAGTTACACAATTTGTGTTATGCCAGTGTAACTATGCAAGAGGATTTTTGTCAATCTTCTTCAAAAGCTGTGAAGGGTTGGGTCTGGTTGGTACTGGGAGGGAGAACTTCCAATTAGAATTGCCATCTAGAATTGATCATACTGGGCTACATGGATCAGTGGCTTGACTTGTCAATAGCAACTTCATATGTCCCTATCCAATTGCTTGCTTATATTCCCTTCCCCTTCTCTTTTTGCAATTTCTCAGACTGTGTTGACTTCTGAATCCAACCCAAGCTGTTTAAGAACCCTTTCACACTGAATGAACTACTTCTGTGCATAAGTCTTGTCTCTCAGTATATTGGTTGCAGACCTTTTGTTAGGGGAGGGGTTACTATTCACATTAAAAGTACAGTGGGACCTTGACTTACGATGTCCCTACATATGAACTTTTCGATTTATGAACGGCTCCATTCACAAAAATTGGCATCGACTTGCAAACGGAGCCTCGACCTACGAATGAGGTCGAGGCCTCGCTCTCAATTCAATGCCATTCTTTGTGAATGAAGTGATTGGCGCCTTCAGAGGTCTCAAAGGGTTTTCCCCCCACATTGGAAATTCAAATTTTCAGCCCTTTCTCCCTGCCTCTTTGCCTTCAGAGGTCTCAAACGGCTTTCTCCAATGTCGGGGGAGGGGAAGCCCTTTGAGACCTCCGAAGGTGCCGATCATGGCGGCAGGGACCCCCAGGGAGGTCTCCCATGGGGGCGGGCAAGCCCTGGGAGATCTCCCTGGAGGGACCCGCCACTGCGATCGGCACCTTCAGAGGTCTCAAAGGGTTTTCCCCCCACATTGGAGGAAGCCGTTTGAGACCTTTTTGAAATGCTGGAACTGATCAATTCCGTTCCCATGCATTTCAGTGGAAAACGGTACTTCGACTTACAAACTTTTCGACATACGAACACTGTTCCAAAACAGATTAAGTTCGTAAGTCAAGGTACCATTGTAAGATGCCATGGGGGAGGCAGAGGGCATTCTTTTCTTTTATCTTTCCTATATTTTAGCTTTTATTAAACCCGAGATAACGCTCTGTGCTGACAAAAGCGGTTGGGTCTTTGTGTAAGTGTAGGGCAAATAGTTTTTGTCAGTTTTTAGGAGAAAAATGCCCTATATAGTCCTTAAGCTTTTAGTACTTTTCATATATTTGGTAGTGATATACGAATTCAAGTGCCTTCAGCATTTTGAAGGAAAAAGTGAGATGTGCATGGGATTACGAATTACGGCAATTTAATAGTATATCTATCTTGTATGGTAACCAGGCTTAACTAGTCACCAGTGTGAGGATACAAATTTACTGTCACCCTTATGGCTTTTAATGTTAGAATGTCACTTTTGTTGTTCAATAAATTTGTTAAACTCTAGACTAGTTTGTCACTGACAAAAAATCAATGGGAAAATGTGCTTTTCATTTAAATATAAATTATATTAAAATTTAGTATTTAAATTTATATTATATTTAGATGAAACCATGACATTTTCCTGTTAATTTCTTATCAGTGACAGATTAGTCCAGTATATGTGTGTGTGTGCATGCACACATGCATGCACACGCACCTATTTTGAGATAAAATTCTTAATTCTTCAGCAAAAACCTACTTTGTGTGAACATAAAAATGTTTTATATTTTCAGGAATTGATAATGACTGAGCCTACCCTGCTTGGTAAGGAATTCTTAATTTAAGAAACTAGATAATTTCTTGTTGGATGTTTCTTTTTCATATATAAAACAATACATAAATGGGTTCAATAAAATAACTACCATGACTTACATTCATAGTAGTTACTGTAATTAATCACTATAAAGATTTCAAACAAAGATATTTAATGAACAGGGTTTTCCTGTAGCTCTAGATACGATGGATGGAGAATACAGCGTATTGAGTTAATATAATCAACAAAAGGGAAACCAAGGCATGGAAATCATTTCCACGTTTGGCACAGGCCATTACTTGTTTTGTTAATTTATTCATTAGAGCTATTCACTGTACTCTGGTTATATATATTCACTTCCCGTTTGTAGCATCTTCTAGCACCTGTTATCTTTATGTGTTTTAATGTTGAGTTATGGCTAGTGAATACGTAATTCCAGAACAAATGAAAATTCTAAAGAACTTGCCCATAGATTGGTGTGTTAAGACTAGATAATTTTGTCACAAGTCAAATATGTTAAGCTGTTTTCAGTGTGCTGGGTATTAAAGTGGCCTTAACAAAAGTATGTTAAATCCACCTCCCCTCCCTGTAGTGCTTGGTTGAATGAGTGAAAAGTATTTCTGCTTGTGCATGATGGAGATGGGAGGCATAATTGACCTTTGGCAGCAGTGTCCTAGGTCTTCAGGGAAGTGCTCTGAGGGGGTCATTTGATTGAAAGGCAGAATTTAAAAGCCTCTGTATGTTCACAAAGCAGCTTCTCCTGTTGGTGTCTTTTGGCACGTGACCAGTATTTCTATTTATAGATAGCAGCTGGCTGTGTGAAAATCACTAGGCTTGCTCGTGTAGATTAGCTTGGGATGCAGTGAATAATGTGGCAGAAGGGTGTGAGATCCTTTCATGGTCAGAATATGGGACAGAGTAGCTTCTGAACCAAATATGCCCAGCTGATATAGCTTTGTAATTTTACCAGTGTGAATTTTCAGGGCATATTTGCATTACATGATCAATCAATAGACCAAAGTTGCTTTTTCCCCCAAAAGTTTTTCTTTTTCAAAGGGAACTATTTCATGACATAAGTAACAAATCACACAGGACATAATTTGGCAACACAGCATTATTTATTGCAACTTGGCAATGAAACAAAGTTGCTTTTTAATTTTGTAGTACAGGGTCTCAGTTGCTTTTTAGTTTAATGCAAGAAGCTAAAACAAGCTTTCTGCTTAGAACACATTTAGGTATTTACAAATGTTTGTTTTGATAATCGGGGTCTTGGACCAGAATTCAGAGGGGTGTTCTGGTTACAGAAATGATCCCTGTTACATCTCTCCAGTGCACTCCCAATAGTTGCTCTACAGATTTTAAAGCCTCCCGAGACTGGCTTTTGAGAGATATAGAGGGCTGCAAAGAAAGAGGAAGAGAATTCTATCATACTGGTGACTGAGACCTGACACTGGATTGGTTTTGTCTTATAATTGAAAGCTGTGCAGCAAGGAATCTTTTTTTTCTTCCAGAGCATGCTGAGATGGGAGACAAATCACAGAATGATTCTATACCTCAAGCTTCTATTTCTAGTCCCATAGCTAAAAGAGATCCAGTATCGGAAGGTTCAGTTGAAACTACAGAGATTGGTAAACTATGATCTAGTATTCTTGTATTCTGGTCAGTGTTCCATCTGAGCTGTATGGGTGTGCAGCTGTGCAGTGCTTCATTGATGCTGCACACCTGCAGCCAGTGTTGCCATCCATTTGGTTCTGGTTGTGGCCAAACCCCCTGTGAATAGTCCCAAGCTTCCACCCAGCACTGGCATAAAATTAAAGGGAATGTTGATTCTAGTGTTTCACATTGTGCAATATTCTATTCGTGTACTGCACAGATATAAATATTTTGTGTATGTTGTATATGGTAGATTATAAAAATATACAATGTACATTATTTGGTCCCATGGCAAATATTAAGCAGGAAATGACACAGGTCTAAGTCCAGTAAGTATAAGATCCAGTTCTTACAATAGCTACATGTTCATTCACAGGAGGTAAACAAGAATATATTTGGGGAAACTATTAGTGTTATGAGAGTCATGTTAATGGACTCTCAGCAGAAATAGCAATGAGGGATAAATTAAAACTCTTAACATGTTTTATTTAGCATATGCTTTTGGAGACTTCATGGAGTGTTTTCTTGCTTGGCAGATACTTTATCCGCTACCCTAGAATTGACGTGAAGGAGTTGTGGGTGGATAGGGGAATTTAAAGGCAAAAGCTAAAAACATTGAAGATTATTTTACCAGTAGCTATTTTACCAGTAGCTATTTAGTAAATAATATTTGGGAAGTGACACAGATGAGCCAAGTATGATAATAAAAAGGCTTGTCAAATCCAAGTTACAAGGGATATAGTTCAACCTTGAGATGAACTCTTGTGAGTAGCAGATTGTAAGCAGTAGAGCCAGAGAAAATACATGAAAATCGCCTAAAGGGTACCAATTTAGAAACAGTTGGCCAGGTGGTACTACAGACATCTGTGAATAGATAAGCTGATAAAAAGTGATGAAATAAAAAGCTTTCATCCCTGTTTAAGCCACATGCAATAAAAGTTTTGATCAATTCTTGTTCAGCTCTTTTCTGTTAGAATCTGTCTTTTAAGTTTTTCTGTTCAAGGGTGTCGACCTTGATGGCAAACTGGCCAGAATCCTGTTGCTGACTGTAGTAAATTGCACCAGAATAGTCTGTTGAATCAAAGGGGATGTGGTGAGTCAACTCTGCTGTAAATTCCATTGATTCAGATGGATCTACTCTGTGACTTTAGCATACTAATTAAAAAGTAGACTCATTTGAATCACCACAACTCATGGAGGTGTTGACTCACTAAATCCCCATTAATTCATTGGGTCTACTGTGGTACAGTTTACTATGCTACACAACAGAATAGTGGCCAAAGTGTTCTGGGAGATTGACATGTTCCATGTTTTCAGAATATCTGTTTTTTGTCCATTTATCCTACATAGAGTCTGGCTTGTTTCTCCTAGTTAATATACAATATTCAAATGAAGCATGTATCACTGTTTAGGAACCTGCTGATGTTAGCTCTGGGTTGAAATGTGTAGATTAACTTCCTTCAAAGTTCAGAAGTTTTTTAAACTGGACTGGTGCTCCAGATGATGTTGAATTGCAACTCTCATGCTGAAGTCCAGCAACATCTGGAGTGGCCAAAGGTTGTCTACCTTTATCTTAGCTACAGGCATGGGCCTAGTTCAGTAACATTAGTCTTGGACAGGTTCACTAGAAAAAGTATCTTTGAATACAGTCACAGGAGCAAAAAAATATTTCGCCACAATCTGTCTGATTATCATTGCATGACACTGCAGCAAGAGATATTGTGCAACAGAGCAAATCAGCATTCAATAAGGCCATTCTAAAAATAGGGACACTCCAAAGGAAAAAATATATAACTTTGAAACTGGATGGTGGATCTGCACCACATTTGGCACAGCTATAGAAAGCAGACAGTCTTCCCTTGCTCTTTGCCATTTGGGGATGTTTGGGCAAATGGTTTTTGAGTTATAATTTTTTTAAAAGTAAAACTCTCCCTCTTTGTGCAGATACCGGCAACCTTTTCTGTCTGCAGAATTAAAACAGATCAAGTATGTTGAAAATACCAAACTTGCTTATCTTAAAAGGGTATGGTTAGTTCCCGCAGCAGCCTTTTAAAAAAATTTTTTTTTGAAGGAATCCAGGCATCAGGGGCTCTAATATTGACTTTGCAAAAAAGCCACTTCAGAAGGCAAAAACCTCTGACTTCCTGTATGTTTGATGAATTTGCTGTGGGGCAGTCTAAAACTGCTAAAAGTTCTGAATGCTTCACTTGCCTTTTCAGTGTATAACGCATGTTCCAATGATATTTTCCTTTTTAGGTTTTGGAAATCGCTGTGGCAAACCAAGAGGTCCAAGAGATCCTCCTTCAGAATGGACATGATACAAGACCAAATGGACACTTACTAAACTGTACTGGAATATTCAAGTGCCACTGAACTAGATCAATAGTATTCCATTCATTATTATTATTATTGTTATTATTCTTTTGGAACTAACACAGTGAACATGCAAATACACAATGGTACACTCTTATATACATCCACACAAACATTAAACATTCACAATAGTGGATTCTAGTATTGCAATCTTAACTTTTTGCTGGGGCCATCAATCTGCCTTATTACACTTAGGAGAAAGTATTACATGCAGTTTATTTTATTACTTCAAGTATTATTGCCTTAATGTCTTTTAATCCTGTTACACCGTTTCTAGACATGTTAATATGGTGAAACTTTTGACAAATTGAGTTCATGGACAACTTTTTGCTAATGTTTGATTCCATGTACATTTTATTTTGTATATGTACAGGGCAAGCAAGTATATAATTTGTTAAAGTTGCAATCATAAAGTATTAACAGAAGGTGTAAGAAATCTCTGCATGGTCTAAATTTTCATGTACCTTGTAAATTATTTGCCCTAATGTTTTAGTAAATAGTTTGTGTTTTTTTAAAGATGTTGGGCGCACATCTAGAATTACAGGATAGCAGAGATGAAGATTGTAATACATTTTGTAAATTGTAAACAAAAGGTTATTTTTATATTATATACTGTTTTAAGTGTCAGTCTTAATTTGTCTTGATTTTCATCTAGTCATGGAGAGCCCATAAGTGCCTTGAAATATCAGATTTTTAGCATGAATATGTTCACTGATTGACATTACCATATCAACATATTTGAACTGCCAGTAAAAAAGAACACTTTGACTCACTCTTTAGTTATCCTTTATAATGTGTTTCAATTAAAATCTGCAGAATTTCTAAAAGAAAGCATTACTAAATAATATCAGGTTTAATGTTACAGTGTACTAATAAGTGTGTATTTGTGCAAGCTTTTCAGGGCTTCACTGGTAAAGGGACCATTGAGACAGCTTCTATTGTGCTAGTGAAAAGTACCCCCCCCCCAAGTTCAGTAAGTGTGTTGTGTAAAATTCTGAATTATATCAAAGCCCTTACAGCAACACTGTATACTGGCAATATGCACTGTCAAGGCTAATTCTCATAAGGATCCACTATAAATATGCTTTTCTTTCTGTAATAGAGAATCTTTAAATTAAAGTGAACTCTTCATTTAATGATGTGTCATTATATCATGCAGAAGACAGCACAACAGAGATGGGACTCAAGTTGAATGTAGCATAGTTAAGATGTTCTTTTTATGACAATTAAGTTGGTGTAAAAATAAATGCTTTGGTTTTTCTATTTTAAAAATCCTGATGAATTGTATAGGAACAGGTGTCAGTCTCTTTATAAAGGTACTAAACAAATTTCAGGATTAAAAGGTGCACTGACTTGTAGCTTTCATTTGCTTTGCACAGATTTCTAAGGCTGCATAGTAAGACTCCAACTTGAACCTTAAATCTATTGCTCCTTGTCATTCCAATAATGCAGGGTCACAGAAAATAATCTTGACCTTTTGATTTCAAATGACATCTCTTTCTTGCCACATTTAAACATGCCAACCAATACTGTGGGTACTCCTTAGGCTGTTGCCAAACGATTACCAGAATTATCACCATAGAAATGGATCACCAAGAAGGAAAACTAGTTGATGGGGGGAGGGGAGCTCAAGAATGTCACTTTTGTGTATACTGTTCTGAAAACTGGTCCAGTTAGAACAGTAGACAATCTTTTGATTATGGTTCTTAGTGAGCTGGGAAAATAAGAACAGGGTAGCTTTCTTTCTACAAGTTTGAAGTTACAGAAGATTGTCCTTGGCACTGCACTGGTGCCTGAAACGGCTTCAAAATGTAGGCTGTGTCGTAACATCTGTCCAGCCATCATTCATGAAGATAAAGTCCTGACTGGCTACAAGGGCCAGTCAACTGTGTGAACTCCACAAGGTATGTATCTATATACATCTAAATGTTTGCCATATTCAGAGAATAAACTCCCAACATAAGCAGGATGTAAAATTCTGTTGAGGTGGTTGGGAACTTTTCCACTCCATCTCTTACCAGAGCAGAGGCTGGTGTCAATCATGTGGCCCTGAGAATAGTATGGTTTGACATAAAACTGCTTTGCTCTTGTGTGTCTAGGGAGAATGAATGGGGGGGGGATGAGAAATGAGGTGCCAATACATCACAGCATGTGGCATCTGGAAAAAAAATCCTTCCAAGCAGCGATGACTGACAAAAAAAGGTGTATTCAGTTTCAGCGTGAATGTATTGCAGTACTAATTAGACAGTCATACAGGAATTCTACGTTTTCAATTTATTGATGCCAATAGTGACTTGGCTGAATTATGAAGCAGATTATTAGTTTTACTACAAAACATTTGAATTTATAAGCAATGAAGCAGCACATCATCACTGTGTGACAATAGTTTCCCCGAAAATACCTAACCTGAAAATAAGCCCTAGTATTTTTCAGGATGCTCGTAATATGATATAGGATGCTACCTCAAAAATAAGTTAAGTAAAATCCTGCCCTCCATTGTGCAGCAACTAGATGACATGACTGTATTTGAATAAATGTAGATAGTTGTACATGAAAAAAATAAAACATCCCCTGAAAATAAGCCCTAATGCGTTTTTTGAAGCAAAAATTAATATAAGACCCTGCCATATTTTCAGGGAAACACGGTGTATGAATAAAAGACATTGGTAGTTAACAATTTATATACAGTAGGATCTCCGTGTCAATGGGATCATTATCCATTGATTCACTTATCCATAGTCTGAAAATACAGTGGTGCCTCAACTTACAAATGTCTTGACTTGCGACCACTTCGAGTTACCACCAGCTCCGGTCGCAAAATTTTGCTTTGACTTGCGACCGGCGCTTTGAGATACGACTGGAAAAAAGGCGTGGAATTTGAACTGCTTCCCCTCCTTTTGTCCTTCAGTTAACTGTTGATCAACGAAGAGGCTGCTTTTCTATAGCTCCTTCGCCCCAGCATTTAGAGAGTGTGGCTTTGGAGAGACTTCAGACTGCCTGGCCCTGCTTTTTAAAATTTTTTAAACTGCCTGTTCTGGGTGAGCACTGTACAGGGTTTTGCAGTGTGGGATTTGGGTGGGTGGGGTCATGTTTCTATGCTCTGACAGATCTTATAGTGTGTGGCTGTAGCATTTTTAGTCCCTGCTGGCATGGGTTGTTTTTTTTGGGGGGGGGGGGGGGGGCGGAACGGATTGTGTTTCAATGTATTCCTATGGGAAATGGTGCTTTGAGTTACAACCATCATCCCAGAATGAATTAAGTTTGCAACTTAAGGCACCTATTTTCACATTTATTACCAAAACCAGCCACTAGAGGGAGCCAGAAACTGTGTTATAATTACTCTTTAAATAAGGGGTCCCCAACCCCTGGCTTGGTGCCAGTCTGTGGGCTTCCTGGAACTGGTCTTGGGAGATGGCTCTGCGCCTCCCCGTATGGTGGGCATGTCGCGCTTGCGACATGAGTGCAGAGGTGCCCCCAGCCCCCTGTGCATGGAGCCCGCACCCCCCAACAGGTCCGTGGTCCGAAAAAGGTTGGGGACTGCTGCTTTAAATAATATATGGCATGGTTTCTGGCACCATCTAGTGGCCAGTTCTGGTAATGCATGTGAAAATAATTATTTTTCCTCCTTTTCCTCCCTTTTCCATGCTATATATTATCTATGGTTTTTGGTATTCACAGGGTGGTGGAACCAATCCCTAGAATATGGGGGTCCCACTGTATTATATGGTACAAAAGTAATTTGTAAGGTGAAATTACAAGAATAAGAATCCCATCTCACAGAAGTGAGTATCCAAGGATTATGAGGCTAGTACTGTCCTGCTGTCTTAGGCTGAGTGAATCTGAGAAAGGTAGAACAATCTCCTTTAATATTTCAGTAACAGGTACCAGCACACCTGTTTTAACTGGTTAGGCTTTGCTAGCAAACCTTTCCAGATAATAAGTTTTGAGGGTATGAACTCAAAATTGAGAGAAAATAGTGCTCTTGAAAATTAGTTTGCTCTGCCCACTTGGTAGGCAGGAATGTGCAAATTATTCTTCAGATGTAACACCTAGCGGGGGGAGCAACCTAATTCCATTTTTGCTTCTGCCTTGCTCTGATGGATTTGAGGATGATTGTGTCCTGCTAGTATAAAGAAGAGTTTGATTACCTCAGTTATAACCTTTTGTGAAGGAAAAGTAAAATACTGAAAAAAGTTGTCTGAATTTTAGTAGTACTTCATGCATTGTATAGATTCAAACATATCAAGACTTGAAATTCAAGAATGAGCTGCTTCCTGAAGGAAATCCTCAAATAATCACTTTTTTCTCTTATGAGTTAAAAGAAATAATCCTGAGATAGAAATCAATCAGTACCCATACATATTACTTAGACATTTGAAAAGAGACGTTGCAACTTTCACGAAGAAGTCTTGCATTATCTTTTGTTTCTGTAAAGCCTGCTAGAGTGGACTACCAGATAAAAGTTCACAATGAAAATGTGATTGGTCCAAGAAAATAAAGGGATTTTCATTAGTGCTAACACTGCGTATCTTTACATCCAAAAATCAAAAGCTCTGGTGTCACCATAAAGAAAGTCCTATTTCCGGTCACCACTGCCTTAACGCTGCTAGCAGTGGAAATTGGGAAGTGACCTCTGAGCCAGATCTTAGTACACAAGCAGGTTCTTAAGGGAAGAGGCAGTCCTTTGGATTCAATTTGCCTTGTCTATATAGCTTAATTTTAGTTTTAATGTATATTTAGGAAAACTGTTCATTACAATAAAAAATAAACATTGATTCAACCACCCTGAAGGGTTTCCAGGTATATACTTTATCATTTACAAAAAGCAGACCTGAGAAACAGAAATTTAAGCTTTGTTAGTTCCTTAAATCTGCTGCAACCTTTTGCTGTTCTTATGTGCTATCACATAATATCTGACTTATGGCAGACCTAAGGTTTTCAAGGTATGAGATTTTCAAGGAGTGACTTGGTGCCACCCTTCCACACAAGTGGTTCCCTTGGCTGAACAGGGATTTGAACCCAACTCTGCTGACTTCTAGTGCACCCCTCTGACCATTACAACACACTGGCTCTGTTGCACACTTTAACCTATATCTAACTTTTTATAGATACTACTTGCATTTTCTTCAGTTTATATAGTGTTTAACTCAGTTTTCAGCTCCATTCATACCTTGCACAAGACTCTACAGACCCAAAGAAACTTAAAAATTGGTCATCTTTGCTTTTGGTAAAGAATATCACTACCATGTAAGCGTCTAAAGATAAGCACTTGTGGAGGGGGAGGGCTAGAAGAAGTTAACAGTTGAAAAAAGGAAGCAGGAAAGCATTTGAGGGTTGTTTATTTCAGAAGGAGCCAGGCTGAAAGCCCTGTCTTAAGTCTTAAGCTACTCTAACTCCTTCAAGTCCTCCTCAGGGTTTTCGTCTCGGGGTGAAAAGATCTTACTTATACAAAGCTCCTTAAGGGTCCAGTGGACTGTGGGACTGAAAAACAGGACATTAAAAAATCCAGAGGGCAGGCATTAGCCCAGGTGTGGGAGCATTTTGGTTGAGGAGGACGCGTCTATTCAGCTGTTCACATCACTATTATAGTTCCAGTAAGAAACAGTTCCCCCTTCACGGACTGCTGCCTTGTCATAGTGAAGGGGCTTGAGTAATTCAGAGAAGCTGTGGGCTAGGCCGTGCAGGGACACCCAAGACTTGGATTAGTAGCAAAACATTTCAACCTAACAAGAAGTCCCATTGCCATAACTCAACTTCCAGAAAGGACCCATTTCTGTCATATAGTATGTGGGCATAAAATGGGATCTGTGATTGGACTGTGTTTTGGAGATGATCCTAGGTTAAAATCATTTGGATCCATATTTTTGCACCATTACAAACTCATGCACTGAGAGACCCATGATTTCTGTGGTATAGTCTGTGGACACAGATGGGTTCTGTGATTGGACAGTGATCTGGGGATGATGACATAAAAATGATGTGGATTCATGAGGATCCATGCCTTGGAGCGCTTCCACAAAGCCATGTGCTGAAGGATTCATGATTTCTGTTGTAGTCTGTGAGCACAGGTATTTTCTACAATCAGAGGGATGTTTAGTGAGGATTTCATCTAAAAATATATGAAATCATGAGGATCCACACCTCAGATATATGTTTCTGCATCACTGCAGTTATGCACAGAAGGATCCATAATTTCTTTGTTGTAGTCTGTGGTCATAAATGAAATAGATCATTTGATGGTGAATCAGCAACATTCCCACAAAAAAAGCTTTTGAAATAATGGAGAA